CCAGGTCGCTGGCCACGATCGAGTAGGAGACTTGGCCGTAGGCCCCAAGTCCGGGTCCGAGGCGCTGACCTGCGCGATGGAGGCGCCAGGTGGGTTGTTTTCTGGCACGTGGACCACGTAGGAGACCTGGTGGAAAACTGGGGCATGATCATTGACGTCGGAGATGTGCAGGGTGACGCTTATGCTGGAGGAGAGGGGCGGCTTGCCCCGGTCTGTGGCTGTGATGGTGACGTTGTACTCCGGTATCTCCTCCCGGTCCAGGACGCTGTCTGTCACCAGCTTGTAGTAGTTATTAGAAGAAGAATGAATCTTGAATGGTACATCTCTTTCTATATTGCACGTGACTTCTCCATTTCCCCCAGAATCCCGGTCCCGTGTTTTGAAGAGGGCAACAACCATTCCCGGGGGCGAGTCCTCCAAAATTTTATCAGAGAGAGAAGTGATGATTATTTCTGGGCTGTTGTCGTTTTCATCGACTATTTCTATGGTTACTTTACACTGGGTAGAGAGACCACCTCCATCCTTTGCTTCCACTTCCATGGTGTATCTTTCTACATCTTCAAAATCCAATGACCGGTTATTCCTAATCACACCGGTTTTCTCGTCCAGTGAGAACATGTCCCTTGTGCTCTGGGCAGTGCTCCGGAAGTAGTAGCTTATCTCGGCATTGACCCCTTCGTCCTGATCCGTGGCTGTCACTTGCAGCACGGGGGAACCAGGGGGCAGATTTTCACTAAGGCTAATTCTATATTCGTCCTTGCTGAACACCGGGGGGTTATCGTTGGTGTCCTTGACAGAAATTTCTATATGAGCGGTGGCACTTCTTGGCGGGTCCCCTCCGTCCAAGGCAGTCAATATCAAGCGATAAGATCTCTGCTCTTCCCGGTCCAGGAGTTTCTCCAGAGACAATTCTGGGTATTTGCCACCATCGGAATTAACTCTGACCATTAACGAAAAATAAGGATTAGGGTTTATCTTGTAATCTGTAATTGAGTTTAAGTTTATATCGGGATCCGTGGCAGGGTCAAGGGATATTCGTGCACCAGTGGATGCAGATTCAAAAAGTTCTAAATGTATGTCCTTTTTATCGAATTGAGGGGCGTGGTCATTCACATCCTCAATCACCACAACGACGTGAAAAATATTCAGAGGATTTTCCACCACAGCTTCCAGTTGCAGCTCACAGCTCCTCCGCTCTTTGCAGATCTGCTCCCGGTCTATTCGGTCCTTCACAAGCAAGTCCCCGCTCTCCGCGTCTACGCTGAAGTGCAGCTTCTCCGCGCTAACCCGCAGCTTCCGGGCAGACGCATCCAGGACGCTGAGCCCTAGATCCCGGGCGAGCTTCCCCACCACCGAGCCCTTGGCCAGCTCCTCGGGAATGGAGTAGCGGATGGGCTCGCAGAGCGCGGGGCAGAACAAAAGCAGCAGCAAGGGAAATGGTACCTGCCGCGGGCCGGCCCCGCGCCTCTGCGCGCAGCTTCCCCCCATTGTCCGCTCCGGTTCCCGCTGGAGCCCTCTCTTTCTGGAAAGCCGCAGAAACTGCAATCCACAGCGTCACTGGAAGAGCATTCGGCCCAGGACAGGCGGACACCCCAGCCTCTGGGCTGAGAATCCTTGTGTGCAGGCAGGGTCTGTGCAGCAGGGAGCCTCTTTTTGTATGTGAGCTGGTTTCCTTCTTTCTGTGTTGGCTGCACAGGGAATCCCAGGCTAAGAGACTCAGGGATCCCGGGCGTCAGCGCTCGCTCTGCACTGGCCGACAGCGGCGCCCAGAGGCTCCGCGTGGGACTGTAGCCCGGATTTTCGTTTTGAATTCATCTTCAAAATGTAAATATTGTTCTTTGAAAATGCAGCCATATATTTCCCTCAAATTTAGTCTCACAATAGTACTACAGTAGGTGCTTCTTGTGTTTAGTGTTGTAAGGAAACCTATTATGGATAATTTTAAAATTACACAACAGTAGGGAGTATTATGTATAGTGAACCTTCACATACCCATCACTCACCTTCAACAATGATCAACACTCTTTGTTTGATATATACACACTCTCCTATTATTTTGAAAGACATTCAAGATATATAATTTCCATTAATGTTTCTTTTTAAGATAATATATTAAGATTAAAAATTTTATCTTTATGTTCTACAACCGGCTCCCAATGCACAAGTCCTACCTAGTTTAAGAGAACTAGAATTCAGCCAAGCTCGGTGGCTCAGCCTGTAATCCCGTACTTTGGGAGGCTAAGTTGAGTGGATTGCCTGAGCCTGTGGGTTCGAGACCTGCCTGGGTAACTTGGCGAGACCTCATCTCTACAACAAGTCAAAAAAATAGCCGGGCATGGTAGCGCGCGCCTGTAGTTCCAGCTACTTGGAAGGCTGAGGTGGAAGGATGGCCGGAGCCCAGCAGGTCGAGGCTGCTTGACCGGGAGCAGCCACTGCACTCCAGTCTGGGCGACAGAGTGAAAATTCAACTTTAAAAAAACCCCCCAAAAACTAGAATTCAGCATTTTCTTTACTCATTCATTTCTTCAGTCATCCATTCAGTGAGTCTTGTGTTTTAAAGGCAAGTGACACTTGTGTGATACAGAATAGTAGTTACCTACCATGACATACAACCTTCACCAATATCTGATATGTTTTCTTCCAAATTAAGACATATTTAAGTATTTATGAATATTTATCATAAAAGTTACTCTTTAAAACATAAATATTAAGTGACAATTTTCCTGTTCCATGAAGAATGGTTATATGGTTAAAAACATGACCCTGAAGGATGTCCCACCACTTGCTTAAGGAAAAAGAGTGTTTGAAATATTTAAAATGTCAGTATGTCATAACAGATTTCCAGACATATTTCCTCTTATTTTCATATAAATAGAACAATAGAAATTCAAAAAATCAATTATGAAGTCAAATAAATTAATTCTCTACTTCCATCGAAATGCCAGCAGTGAATCACGTGTTCAGAATAGGATTTCGAGTCAGCTTCAAAGCTTATTTTCAAATAGTCTCCTGGGATGTCATTTGTTACTTGAAACTTGACACTATATTTAAAATCACATTAAATAATATATTATTTTCCTTATAGCCAAAAGGTAGTAAAATATTCATTAAATCTCCTGAGCAGTTTCTGAGAATATTTTCTTAAATTATATCCCATATCCATGTTAATTTGTAGCCTCCAAAGTTGGAAAATTGAACCAGAAATAACATATAGGTAAAACAAATAATTTTTATTTCCCTGTTCTGTTCTTTCACAGTGCCCAGTCTTAGAAACTTCTCTTGAGCAAGCACATGCTATAGGAAAGATGGAAGTCAAACTATTCTTCATAATGTGACATTGCAGCACTAGGAAATTAAGACCTTTGAGGATATGAGAATAAAGGATGTTAGAATTTTCACCATTAAAAGGAAAACATGCTTTACTAGGGTTTGGAAATGGATAACTGAATCTTGAATCTTCCTCAGAAAAGATCTTTAAGTACAAACAGACTCGACAAACTTGTGAGCTAAAAAGCATCACTTCAGAGGTGTGTTCTCCTGTCATAGAAACAGAAGAGTGGAAGCCATGAATATGAGCATTTAACTGTTTCTCTAAAAAGAATGCATTTACTTTCTGTAAAAAATAGTATTGGCTGTAGAAATAGTTTTAGGAATAAGAATTTTACAATGTGGTTACTGGAGACAACCATAAACAGTAGACTTCAAGAGTGACGAGCCAGTTGGAAGAGTCAGTAGTGATCTTCTGCAAGCAACCAAGCAACCCCACCCAAAGAGTTCACATCAAGGCAGACTGGAAGCTTTCCCATGAAGAATGGTCTATGTTGACACTACATAAATTACGAAAGAGCAAAAATCATATCAGCAATGTAACCAATAAATGCCTCCTGTAGATATGGAGCAAAAATCAGGCGTGGTTAAAAATTAAATGACGAGAAATATATGAACATGAACTTAAGCTACCCTAAGTACAAATACTTAAAGAGAAAGCCAAAGGTAATAGAAAGTAAATTTTTAAAAAATGGAACTCACGGGAGCCAAGGGAGTGTCTTCTATAGGAACTTTGCCATCAACTGAAGCACACAAAGGCTCACTTTTCCCACAGCTCTCCTGGCTGATGAGTGTGTCTGCGTAGTTGGGCTGGGGAAAGATCAGGTGACTCTTCCCAGAGTCTGCAGTGAGTGATACCTCCTGGGAATAGGTCTGCAGGAAAGCCCGAACGCCGTCCATGCCCACAAAGTGTGAGGCGGGTACCCCTGCCAACCCACCACTTGTAGCTTGGAGCGGGCGTGACTTGTGCCAGCGCCGAAGCCTGAATGCCAGCAGCATGATGACAAAGGCGAGGAAGACACAGGAGACTGCTGCGACGGCCACGACAAGGTAGAGGGTAAGGTCCGAGGCCTCTGGGTCCCCAGGGATCTCAAGATTGCCCAGGTCGGCCAGGACATCGGGGATGCTGTCAGCCACAGCCACAGTAAGAGTGGCGGTGGCTGAGAGAGGGGGCTGGCCATGGTCCTGGACAGCCACCACGAGGCTCTGCTTGAGCGCGTCTCTGTCCAGCAGGGCCCGCGCCGTGCGCACCTCGCCCGTGTGCAGCCCCACCGCGAAGAGCCCGGGCTCGCTGGCCTTGAGCAGGCGGTAGGACAGCCAGGCGTTCTGGCCCGAGTCTCTGTCCACCGCCACCACCTTGGTCACCAGGTAGCCGGGCTCTGCGGAGCGGGGTGCTAGCTCCACACCCGTGGAACCGTCGGTGGGGAGGGCGGGGTACAGGATCTCAGGCGCATTGTCGTTCTGGTCCAGAACAAATAGTCTCAATGACACGTTGCTGCTGAGGGGTGGGTTTCCACTGTCACTTGCCCTCACCTCCATCTGCATAGCGCGAAACTGCTCATAGTCGAAGGAGCGAAGTGCATACAGCACACCAGTGTCGGAGTTAATGGAGACAAAGGAGGAGAGAGGAGCCCCCTGGATGCTGTCTTCTGCCAAGGAGTAAATAACCCTAGCGTTCTCATTGCTGTCAGGGTCATGGGCAGCCACTGAGAAAATGGAGGCGCCTCTGGGGTTGTTTTCGGGCAGGTAGACTGAGTAGGAGGCTTGAGAGAAGGCAGGTGCATTATCGTTGATGTCAGTCACGTGCAGGGTGATGTGAATTTGCGAGGACAAAGGCGGCATTCCTCTGTCTGTTGCGGTCACTGTGATGTTATATTCCGAGGCTTTTTCTCGGTCAAGAATTCCGGCTGTCAACAATCTATAATATTCTTCTTCTGAATTCTCTAATTTAAAAACTAGATTCTCCTGGATAGAACAGACAACTTGGCCATTCTTCCCAGAGTCCCGGTCATGAGCATTGAACAGAACAATTACCGTTCCCTGAGGAGCGTCTTCCCTCACTGGGCTAAAGAGAGACGTAATGGTCACGTCGGGTCTATTGTCATTTACGTCCTCCACCGAAATGAGCACTTTAGTCCGTCCTTTCAATCCACCACCATCTTCAGCCTGTACCTCCATTTCGTAAGATGAACATTCTTCGTAATCCAGACTTTTTGCTGTTGATATTTCCCCAGTATTTTCATTAAGCTGGAATAATGGAGATTGCTTTTCATTAATTTTCCGAAATTTATATGCCACTTTTCCGTTGGTTCCCTCATCCAGGTCGCTAGCTGTTACAGTAAGCAGCTGGGTACCAGGGGGCACGTTCTCAGGGACTTTCATTCGGTAAATGGGTTGAGAAAAAACAGGGGCATTGTCATTTGTATCCAACACTGTCACATGGATGCGCACTGTGCTGGAGCGACGCGGGTCGCCGCCATCGGAGGCGGAGAGGACCAGGTGGTGAGCAGCCTCTTCCTCTCGGTCCAGGGCGCGCTCCAGCACCAGCTCTGGGTTTATAGTCCCATCGTTTCCAGTTTGCACGTCCAAGGAGAAGTAGTGATTGGGGCTGAGTTGGTAGCTCTGCAGGGAGTTCACGCCCACATCCGGGTCAACAGCTTCTGGGAGGGGAAAACGTGCTCCAGGAGCAGCGATTTCGTTTATTTTTATTTCCAGATTTTCGGCCTCGAATTTTGGGACACTGTCGTTGATATCAGTTACTTCTATTTCTATTCCGTACAGTTTTACTCTGTCTTCAACCAGGACTTTAAAGTTCACAAGACACCGCGGGCTCTGAGCGCAGAGCTCCTCCCGGTCTATCCTCCCCGCAGTCACCAAGCTGCCGCCTCGCGGGTTCAGAGCAAATAGCTGCATCCTACCTCTGGAGACGATGCGGACTCCGCGCTCCGCCAGCTCCCGGGGCTTCAGCCCCAGGTCCTTAGAGATGTTGCCCACAATATAGCCTTTTTCCGTCTCTTCAGGCACCGAGTAGCGAATCTGATCGGTCCTGGCCTCCCACAGCGTCCCCAGGAACGCGCACAGCAGGATTAGTCTTCCGCGGTGCTGGCATTTGGTTGGAGCTGCCATTGCTGCTTCGCTACGGAATTTTCTCAAAATGCTCTCTATGCACGCTTTCTCATCAGGTTCTTTTTTCCTTCCTGCAAAATATGATGTCTTTTTCCTCAGGAGAAACCCGGAGTGCTCCAAGTTTAGAGGTTGAGTTTTGCTGCAGTTGGGGAGCCGGTTTGTGGGATCTGCGGGGCTTTGTGTAGTTGCAGAATTGAAAATCCGGATGGGGTGCTGATTGAGCTTTTCTTAGAGTTGGTCAACAGCGGCGCTCAGAGTCCTAAGCCGTTACTACACTCACCGAGATACGTGAGACTTTATTGTATCAGATGACTGATTTTAAAAAACCTACCACTCTCTTCTAATTATGATTTTAGATTTTCTTAATTGTTTCTTGTATTTATTTAAAAATAAGTGACTATTTGGAGATATCTGACTTGTATATAACATGGAATGAGACTTCTGTGGTGTTATTGAATCACCATTTTTGCTTAATATCAATTTACTCTTATTCTTCATAGTTTTGCACTGTCTTTCTAGATATGCAAGCTATGATTTTCTATGGTGCTTCAATTTTGTCTATAGGTCTTGACTATGAATTTTCTGAAGCAATTTTGAAGTACAATCCTTTTTAGAAATGCATTCATATTTTTATTCTTATACCTATATTTCATATTTATTAATGCATAATGCACAATTGCATTGAGTTATAGATTTACCTTGAAACTATTTTATAAAAATTTATTTTGATCGTAAAATTCCTGGAGAAAGTTTTCTTTTGTGCTATAAAAATAATTAGGAAAATTAATGTCAAATTTTAACAGCTTTAAGGTTTCAAAAATTCACATTTTTGTGATGGCTTAAAATTTTCTTTTAAAAATGTTTAGTTTTCTATGTGAATACACAATGCATGCACAGGCTATATGTTTGGAAGATTGAAATAAACATACAGTGTAAAGCAAGTTTCTATTGCAATCCTCCATAAGGAAGTTATACACTTTTTAAGTGGTCTTATACTTCTTATTCTTCGGATCACTTAAACTTATGTAATAATTTGGAAAAGAACACAAAATATAGAACAAATGATTACTACTAAAAAGTTATAAGTAACCAGCATTATAAGAACTCTCTTTCAGCAGTTTGTAATGAAGGCAATTACTGAGTCACTTGTTAAGGGAAACCAAGCAAAAGAAATGACATGTATGGCAATCTGTATGTACAGAAGACTAACAGTTTTTGCCTTAAAAGTGGAACAATTCAGGATTCTCTTTCCCTCCCACAGGGTTGATGAAAAAACATCTAGTCATTTGGTCTCCAAATGATAAGACCAATCCAGTGTCTTTTTTCTCTTTCTTCTCCAAAGAACACAAGTCATTGTTTAGAGCAAGAGAAGTAGAGGCAATAGCATTTCCTTTTCTTTTATTAAGTTTTTCCTTCTAGTAACTATATAGAGGAAGAGGAGAATTTTGCACATCCAAGAAAACCTGAAGAAGCTTAATGATATAGACCTTCTGATGAGTTCAATGTTTCCTCCTCTTTTTCATATATATGCATGCACACACACATAGTATTTTTAAAATACAATTTTAGAGACCCAAAGAATTATACATCTATTAGGTAGAAATAAGGAACCAGATATGAGGAATAAACAGGAAAGGGATAGAAACTATCAGTGAAATCAGTGAAAAAGATACCTACTAGCAGTTTCTTTGCTTTAAAAGATGATTAAATGATAATCTACTTAAAATTTAATGCTTGCTTACACATAATAAAATTTAAATATGTTAAAGATTAGACAATTCATGGATAAATTTAATTAGTTTTGAAAAAAGTTCAAAAATTGTCAAATCTTTTTGCTTTGGAGCTAAGAGCAAACTTACTACTTTCAAAATCCACAAGTCACCCTATTTTATGTCACATAACCACTCATAATTCACAGCTCCCCTTGGAGAATGAAGTATAGTTTTCTGACCAGCTATAACTTCCCTAAGACAACTCACTAGATGTGAAAATGCCCTGTATTTTTATAGATATGAAAGATTGAGTGGATGATGGAAAAGACTTAAATGAAACTCACCGAATCAGGATGGGAAGTCGACTCACTGGAATTACAAAGTGGAAATAAGGCCCCAGATGAATCGCCACAAAGTACGTCTTGTCCTGAACTCAACTGCTCACTACATTGTAGGAAATTAAACTCGGTCTTTCCTGTGTGCGTAACGCACAGATTGTAAGAATAAGGCAAGGTGCCCTCGCTGTAGTTGGGGGGAACCACGGGTCCAGACTTTGGAGCAGAGACCAGACTGAAAGCAGCCCCACGCAGCGGGGCTGGCGGAGCGTCGCAGGCGCAGGGCGATGGCCAGAATCACCGCAAGGAGGAAAGAGCACAGAGATCAAGGCCAAGGCCACCACCAGGTAAAACTGCAGCTCCGCTTGCGGGGTCAAGGGAGCCGGATGGTCGCCAAG